TAGTTTCGTGGGTTTAGAGGTTTTAGGGCTTTAGGTTTTTGGGTTTGTGGTTCAGGTTTTGTTTGTTTAATCTGGGTATGGTAGTACCAGTACGTATGTGGGTAGGTAATTAGGTAGGTGGGACGGTCGCCAGGCGGTAGGAATGTATGTAGGCATGTGGGTGGAAGTCAACCTTTTGGGTCCTTGCCATAACACGGCACCTAATTTTGGGGTACCCGAAACAGGACCATCATTTTGGACAACTACCCATGTACGTGTACAATTCGGGTTACGAGCTCAGGGTATACGCATTTATGTAAATTTATTCGCTCATCCTTTCGTCCTTCCATCCACCAATGCATACATAGATTTATCCATCCATCGTTCATCCACCCACCCATGCACCCACCCACGCAGCCATCCATCAATGCATCCATGATCCGTTCATTCGTTATTCAGGCATGTTGCTTTGTCATTGTCTTGTTGTCTCATTCATTCGTTCATGGGTTCATTGTTCAACTGTGCATGTCATGTGGCTGGGACCTCAGAGCTTTCTCGCAGACTGAAGCGGTGTAGTAGATTAGGATCAAGGCCCGAAAGGGGACCATAATGTTGAAGTAATGGCTGGAAGTTCGGCTTGCGACAAACTTCAGACCCGCATTGCATCAACAACTTAGAGTGCCTAGAGATCCGAAAGTATGCATCGCAGACCTAGCGCGACATCGCAAACCATACGCCTCCAAGCCTAAACAAGATGCGGGGTCTGTAGCACCGAAGGCAGCGAACTCCTGACCGGCGTGACGACAGGGACGATCGGTACCCAGACAGGCCATGCATCAATAAATGGAGGGGGTTGGGAGTTACAGTTACAGTGTATGGTGAAAGGGCATCACGGCGTAAAGGGTTTAGGGGTCTGTAGGGTTTAGGGTTCACGGTTTCGGGGCAGACTGACTACCTGTGGTTCGTGAAAGGGCAGTGTCGAGTTCGTTGTTCTTCTGGCTGTGTGTTTCGAGTGGGATTTGTAAGCATCTGTCAGCCATGCCCTGTACCGAGAGTTTAGCAAACCCTCCTGATTTTGAACAGACTGATCGGCTCAAACACCAAAAAAAAAGGAGCAAGCTCAGAGATTTCACGCCTAGCCACAAACCCGAACCCTCATTCGGCCCCGAGCTGAACTCCGTTGATTACCGATAGGCATGATACCCCGCTCTTTTTTACGGCAACTTCTCTATGTAACAGGTCCTAGCCACAGAACTGGAAATCCTAAAGCAGGAGTAGGGTATGACCCTAAAGGGAGAGTTCCTCGAACCGGAAGCCCAATACGGGAGATTCAGAAACCTTGGATCCGGATGTGGGCAGGAAGCGTTGGGATCCTTGTTCTTAGGCCCCAAGCCCCAAACCTTCGACCCATAGGGCACCCATACATAGCAGATCCCCCGCCTCGAAAACACGTTGGCAAAACTTAGGATTTGTCGGCCCGGACAGCGCACCCCTGAAAGAAGTTCTGCGAGTCTTTCCGGATAACCCAATTGAGTCCTCGGGTTTACTGTTTTGGGTTTAGCCCTCAACATCGAAACCCGTACAGCAAAACCTCGGGTGTCAGGTGGCGCGACGACCACCGACGGGGAGGTCACCGCACTGGCCCCAGTGTTGGGGCTTCCAGGTTGTGGGAGGTTCTATATGGGTTCTGGGTAAAGGTTCTGTGGTCGCTTTGTGGTGTTGGCTCTTCTCAAGCGTGGCATATGAGTTGGTGAGATCTACGATTATGGACCCGACTACAGACCGTAAGCAGTAATATCTTGAATGTGAAGATCTCACCAACTGTCTGCTAGTTTTAAGAAACCCTTATGCATGCCTTTCCGAACCCTTACAGCGTTCCGAAGAAACGTGATATCACTTCTGGAAAATTGAAGCTCCTGTAAAGTTACTATGCCGCCGTATGGAGCCCCCGTTAGCAACTGTAAGCAGGCGACCACCACACCTCAGGCAATAGTTGACCCCAGGACTGTAGGGTTCAGGGGTAAGCCCTAAACCTCAAACCCCGAACTTCCCGAACCCTAAACCCTAGCGTTTAGAGATGGACGTTTCGAACTCTGGGGGTAGGTGGGTGCGTGTTTTCTGTGTAGTGCATGCCTGGAGTCGGCACGGGAGAAAGCTGCACTCGAGAAAGCCCAGGCTGATGAGGAGGCGTGTTTGCAGCATTTGCAGTAGGCGCTGAGGCCACTAGGCCTGCTAGGCTGCTAGTCACTGCCGGTCGCTGCTATTGGGGCAGCTTCGGCGACTTTACTTTTCAATGTGGTTGTGTTTTGCGAGCATTTCTTGCTACGAAGGCTCATGCTGCAGCTCTCCTGCCCAACCTTTTCGGTATCGGCAGGCAGGCACACATCGCTGCAGTGTGCGGATCCTGTAGTGGTCAGGATGATGATACACACTAGGTCCGGTCGTGGTAGAGATGCAAAGGGTAGAATGACATTAGCAGCAGCGGCAGGCTGCAGGATGTCTTGTCTGTCATGCTCACTGATGAATTCCGTCTTCTGCGGTCTCCGGATGTTATTGTTGGCAGACACGTGCATGCCTTACGAAGACAAGCCACGGAACGGATAATTCTAAGAGCCGAGTTGCAGCACCCGGTGTCAGACTGCGAGGAGGTGATGTTCGGCCTTGCAGTCCAGTTGGAGCCAGCTCGATGTAGTGTGTTTCAAGTCAGAGAAGGATCGGCGAATCATGGGGAATGTTTTCGCGCACGGCACATACTGGAATGACAAGTTTTCCGCATTTAACATGTAGTCTTCTTGGTGAAAGCTTCCACTGGTGCCCCAAGTGTGGCGAGGACTTTGCAACCAATCCTCGCGTGATGCCTATAATTTCCTTACTACACTGTCCTACACCGCTCCTACTTGTAGGATTGTATTTCATGCCTACTAGAGGAGCGGTGTCGGGCGTACACGGCATGCGTGGTCCAAGACATTCACATTTGCAGGCGTGGTTTTCCGCGCTTTTAGGGAACATGCGCAGCTACAGGATCGAATGGGGAATAGTTGGCAAGCGACCTCAATTTCGCAAAGAGTTGCATGCTGCAGGGTTCATTCAACCACCTTTTTTCATTCGACAGCAAAAAAGTGCGACGTGAAAGGTCAGCAGGGGATGCTTGCCGATCGGTCCAAGCCCTGGGCTATGTTTGGCTGTTCAGTGTTGGGAGGAGGCTGCAAGGTTTCGGGGTTTGGTTCTGGAGTGCTCGCATGATAACATAGGCTGTGCCCTGATATTCCATTGTGTGCCCGGGGTTGGGGAATGTGATGTCTTTGATATCCGTCGTGGGCGGCGTGCGCTTTGCGAGCGAGTTTCACTTTATCATTGGTTTAGGGGGTTTGGTCACTCCTATCAGAAGCCAATTGATGTTTTGTCCATGGGGGTTGGGTCCAGTTACATATACAACGTACTTATTGTGATTATGTTGTTTGAGCTGCAGGGGGGGTAACTTGTGTTTGACAAATATATTTAGCGAAGATATTATCAAGTACATAGAGATATCTGGTCTGAGTAGGCAGACATAGCAGCTATGATGATTTTAGTATAGCCCGTCGTTTCGCATTGATTGTAATTCGATCGATCCATACACGCCTACCCAACAGTTCCCACATCAACCAGTTTAAGCCTCCTGAAACCGTGAACAGCTCCTGTATAGCATCTGGCTGCATGCATGTTCATGATATTGACGTCAACTGAATCCTTCAGCTTGCCTCGCTGAGGTGCCACCAACCCCGATGTCACCGGTGAAGGATGCGACCTCTGCCTTCCAGAAGGACGCCTATGCCGACTTGGAGTTCACCAACGACGTCGGCTACCTGTCGGATGGCACCCCACTTAGCAAAGCGGGCAACGCCCTCAACCACCCGGAGACGATCGGCACGGACAAGCACGTTGCTGGATCGCCACTGCCCCGTGCCAATCCCATGAATGCTGCTGGCGATGCCATCAACCACTCGGAGACGATGCAGCCGGACCCCATTATGCCCGGCTCGCCCTTGCCGCCTTCGATGCACGGCAAACAGTTCGAGCGCAGCTTCCAGAAGGACGTGTATGCCGACCAGGAGTTCTGCAACGACGTGGGCTGCTTGCCAGACGGCACTCGGCTGAATCGAGCTGGGAACGCCATCAACCAGCCGGAGAACATTGGACCGGACAGCAATGCTCCCGGATCGCCTCTGCCCCGGCCCCGTGCCATCTTCGTGAACTCCGTCGACTACCTCCCGGATGGATCTCGGCTGAATCGAGCTGGCAACGCCATCAACTATCCTGAGGCCGCAAGGGGTCCAGCGCTTTTCGGCACACTTGGGTTCAAATCATGTCAGCGGCATTCCGCAGGTGTTTGGTTGCTGGCACTTCGAGACAGAAAAGAGAATAAGATTCACCAATTCCGTATTCATAGGGTCATGAGAGTGCCCTAAACAGCCGCCGAGATCGACCCCCGTGAGGTTGGGAAAGACCTATCTACTAAGCTGTTTTTGCCTTGGTTTTCGCTTGCAATCCTTCTTCGACGAAGCCAATGACGAGGCATCAGGTAGTTAATGTTTGCGTGCTGTTTTCTGGCGACATCGGGCTGACCTGAGGAGCCATCCTGTTTTCTTGGGCGATTCGTGCTTTTTTGTAAGGTCCAAATCAAGGTTGGCCAGGGACTCACCAACAGAAGCAAGACCCCTTGCGCAGCTCAACCCGGAGAAACTTATGTGCCTTCCACACGCTTCCACCACAAGTTGTGGAGCGAGCTACAGCCAATGTCAGAGAGCATGTCGAACATGCTTACTTTGCAGGGCCACGCAATCCAAACCTCAGGTTCAAGCCCAAAACCAGGCGTTCTGAGCCCTGCTCCATGACCCGAACAGGCAACTCCTAGCATGCGGGCGGATGCAAAGCCATTCGTGCTTTGACAGGTGTCGACCATGGGCGTGATCTCCCTTGGCCAGGTCCAGGGGCCGAAGGCCTGAAGAGGGTCCTTTTTCAGTGCCCAAAAGCAGGGGGCCATGAGGCCTGCCTTCTCGTCTCTGTCACTCTTGGAGGAAGTGTCCCTGCAGCCAGTTGTATTCCAACCTAATGTCCCGGTTTCGTGGACGCAACCCGATACTCCGGAAAACGCATGTCTGCGATACAGCATTTCTGCCGCCGGCATAGCCAAGCCTCCTTTCGCCGTTGCGGTGGACCTGACATCTTGGTCTCGCTTGCGGGGTAGTGTTGTTGAACGGCCGTTGGTGATGTCGCCTATCCCCATTGAGCATGCTATCAGAATCCGATTCTCTGATTGTACGTGTCAGGCCATCAAGATGGTCGAGGAGGCTTGCAAGAAGGGCACCTGGGTGCTGCTGCAGAATTGCCATCTGTACAAGTCGCTCAGAAGGCATCAAGTGTCGGTGACACGTCATGGTAAATCGAATCGCACAGGGATGAAGTAGGGTTGTGTCCTCCTGCAGAGTGTAGCAACCTGTTCCCATCTTCACATGATGGGAAACTACAGGGTCAGAATGTTCTTGGACCGCTCCGCATGCTTGTCTTTGATGTCCAACATGCTGTAACTTGTTCAAACGTTCCAAGCACTGCCGACGCAGTTTTTGCTGGAAGTGTGAGACGTGCGGCCGACGCTGAGGACTTTCATGCCACAGCTGGAGAAGATGTGCGAGACTCTCGAGGAGTCCGCACCTGACTGCTTTAGTGGAGGGTAGTGGAGGGTTTCGTTTCCTGTTAGTTTGCAGAGCGTGGGTGATCGTGAAGCCCATCCTCAGGTCCAACATGATCCACAAGGACTTCCGCTTGTTCTTGACGAGCATGTCCTGCACTCGGGAGTGCGAATTCTGTTTGCAGCTGTTGCTCTGTGATGATGTTTGGTGCCAACAACACTCATAGACAGTTGCGAGTCAGGCCGGCAGCCTATTTCCCGGTAGCAGTGCTGCAGAACGGCATCAAGCTTACAACGGAACCACCAAAGGCTCGGTCGAGCCGCCCCGAAGTGCCAGGTCTAACTTGCAATGTCCCTTTCTCCAAGCAGTGCTGCACGATGTGCATTGTCCAAATTCGCGAAAGGAAAGCATCAATCCCCAATCGTTTTTTACGAAAAAAAGGACTTCTAAGTCACCCCTGTATTCCTGCGTGGTTTCCTTTCGGGCAGTCAGCTGCCTCTTCATACAACCTGTGTGATCGGACAGGGTCTGCGCGCAAACGTGATGCGATCCTTCCTTCCGATGACGGAAGACCAGGCTGAAGTTTTGGGCTTTGGAGAGCTAGGGTTTAGGGTGTCGGCCTTTGGGGTTTAAGGTTTAGGGTTTAGAGGGGACTTCGGCTCGTCTTCACTTCAGCGCTAAGCTGCTGACCCTTGGCCAGCTCAGCGACTCGTCGAAAGACAAGGAGTGGCGAAAGCTTCAATTCGGCTCGAGACCCAGATCTGCTCAGACTTCGGTGCTTGCGTGCTTGCTTCAGCTGTAAAGGTTCCGTAGTACAGGATCATAATGTCGTAGCTGCGTTGCAAAGCTAAAGTGTGCTGAGGCCTGAAGTTCTTCCACGCCGTCATTCAGGATCTTGAGCTGTCGCAAAGCCTAGTTTTGAGCAGGTAACGGAATCCGGTGTGACATGGCTCGTCTCGGCGGAACTTTCTGTCCTGGACCAGGAGAGGCGCAAATTCGGACCACTGGGATGGAACATCCGCCACCCGCCTAAATTCATAAGCCGGGGATTCAGCGACATCCGCCTCTCCGTGATGAGGCTACGAGTTCAACGACTCAGACCTGGAAACGTCTACCACGATCACCCACAACATGCTGGACTGACCTCGCAGAGTTCAGCTGCTGGGGTGCGTTCTGTGCCCTTGGCACAACGTTCATGTCACGTCACGGATGTTTGTGGGCAGGAGTTGGATGGACCGATCCCGTGGGACAGGCTCCTCTTCGTTATCGGGCATATCAACTACGGTGGCCGTGTCACCGACGACAACGACAGGTGCGGACTGCTTTCAGCGACAGTCTGCCATCGAAGACGTCGTGTGACAGTACCGGTACATAAGTAGTACCTTTTAACTCTAAGAGTTGCGAGGGCCAACCAAGGCCAAGGCTCCGTCAGTCCAGATGCGGTCCTCTCAGCCTTTCGCACAGGAAGTGCTTACTCGCCATCCTGGAGAAGTACGTGACCCCAAAGATCCTTGAGTCCGGCTACACCTTCTCCGAGAGTGGAACTTACAGGCCGTGGCGGGGCCGCAGGTCCTCGCAGCAGGAACGGAAGGCACCCTGCACCGCAGGTGCCCGGACAATTCGGACACGGCCGACATCGAGTCCTGGCGGAAGTTTGTCCGTGCCTCGGAACAGTAACATGGGCCGAGGTGGAGTTTGCGCCCGTGAAATTTCAGGACCGCATGCTTTCACGTGTGTCGCTTGAGTTCAGTAAGATGATCTGTGAGCCCTCGACTGGCGCGTTTGATGCAGAGTGGCATTTTTCAAGTCGGTTCGGTTTGTTGTGTTGCAGCGCTCTTTGCATGGATTGAGGTTGCCAGCTTCCCCCTGGCGGAGCAGCCAGAGGACTGCATCCCAATTGCTAGAGTCGAAATGATGCTGGACACCCAAGACGTTCTCAAAGCGCTATTTTCCAGTTGCGATAGATGCGACGAGGTTCAAGCAGGTATTGTCTTTATGTCTGACCCTTCCTTGTTGTTTAAACGCAGTTCTTGATCTGTTTTCGTATTCTTGGATAGAAGCTCCACCGGAAGGGATTGCGCCGATTTTCGGCGTAAGTTGCTGTTACTCATCGGATTGTAGACTTCAGGTGTGGCAGATCCTTCGGCATGTGTACCTCTGAATGTGAGACGTGCCACGAGGCACACTGTCGGTGCAGCTGCCGTGAGATGTTGTGACAGGTCTTCGGAATGCACGACAATGCGAACATCAGCTTCATGAGCTCGAGCCCTGGTTACTGGCTGGCGCTGGTGCATGTGGTTCTGAGTTCTGGGGGCTTCTCGCTTTGGGGTTTCAGGGTTTCCAGGTTTCGGGTTTAGGTCTTCTTCGTTGCGAGCTCGTGTTGTCGCCAAGGCCAGGAGTCCGAGAAAGTCCTGAATACGGTGCTGTCAATCCAGCCCCGAGAGGTCGGGCCTCAGATTCTGCGAGACGCCTTGCGTTGCGTCATCCTCTGCTAGTGCGTCATTGCGGTAATCCCCCCTTCTTCGTCGGGCTACTTGTCAGCGACCCGAGCCCAGAGCCTGCGGGAAAGTGCAAGGGTCCTAAACGGCCCTAAACCTGGCTTGAAGCATTTTCTGTTTGCCAGCTGCTTGCGTCATGGGACTGGGAGACCGGATTACAGGAAGCGACTTCGAGAGATCGCAAAAGCCTTGCTCTTCGTGAGGCCGGGGGTGGCGGAGGCAAGAGTTCGGAAGAGATCGTCGTCGAAATCTCGGCCGAGCAGGAGCTGGAGCCTCAGCGTCCTTGCAGTGCTCTGGCTGTGCAGAGAAATAAAGACAGAATGGAGGGTCTCAAAACCCCCCACTGGAAGATCTTCACAGCGGGTTCTGAAGATTTGAGAAGCTGGAAGCTCTCTTCTTGGTGACGTCATGACGTCATGCGCTTCCACGAGGTCGCGACTCCCGGAACGTCTGCATACGGAGAACGCGCATCCGGATAGCTTTGCGATGAGCGAGGTCCGGAGTCCCGAGAACTGTGTTGTGGTTCTTTTCGGTGCAAGCATGAGTCTGCGGACTTCTAATGACCTAATCGCATGCGGCCGCAACAGGAGACCGGCTTGATGACATCCCTGGGAACGTGCCTCACACAGGCGCGGCACAGCTCCTTTCGGTGCTCATATTTAATCGCTTTTGTCATCCTTGCGAACGTCGCTGCAGGAGATGGCCCAGCTGACAATGACTTTGAAGCAGCTCCAGAAGGCCAAGGGACGGGACCCGAAAGATGGGATAGGGGCCTTAATAATTAGAACATGGTTTTGGGGCTCATTATACTATCATTTTAACGCTACGCCGCCCTGTAGCGGCAGGTCGAGGGGGCAGTGGATGTTGTATACACCATGCTAGTGGGGCCTCTCAACCCCAACCTGCTCTTAGGGGGGAGGGGGGGGGGAGGGGAGGGGGGAGTGGGGAGGGGAGAGGGGAGGAGGGGGGGAGGGGGAGGCTTACCAAATCAGGTAAAATGAAGGGAAGCCGGGCAAGGGGGTGGCAAACGAACGCAAAAAACAGCATCTCCAAAGTTTCGGAGGAGGATGGTAACCCCGAAGACGCCTGGGCCTGTGGCCTCGGCGGATAATTAAGGCCCCGATATTACCATGACTTGCGTCAGTAATTCCTGTCGCTCACCCTGCCAGGATGACGAAGTCTTCTTCGTCCCGAAGTGCTTCTCGGAGGCCGAGCCGTGGTTGTTTTTGTTTGTCGGTGATGCTGCTGCGACTTGTCTCGAGCTTTTCTACAGGGATGCTGAGCTTTTCTGGGGCAGTTTGCTCGGAGCGATTTTTGCGTCGGGCCTGCCCCGCAGGTGCAGATGCCAGCATCACGCCTCTCGCACCTCGGCGCATTCAAGCGACTCTTGCTTTCGGAGCGTGGCTCCTGAAGTTACGTCTTGGACTTGAGAGACCCACCTCGTAGGTTCCAGCAACCCGCTCCGTCGAACTCCGATGGGCTGTTGGCCAACCGCGAATTCATGCGCGCAGTGGATGCCGCCAGAGAGCGCGCAGCACAGCAAAGAGCGGAGGCCGAACGTCTGCGGTTGCACTTCGCAGGACTTGTGGTGCGTGTGTGCTGCTCTTCTGACGGGAGGCCGAGCGCCTGCCGGGAGGTGTCAAGAAGCAGGGGCAGGTATGCCTGGCGACGATCAACAAGGACAAAATGTACGAAGGCGACTCGCTTTTGCTTTGGTGCCACCCCACTTTGAAGCAGCGATTGGGACGCAAGACATGGACACACCAAGGCAAGATTGTCAAGGCCTTCAAACTGGGCAGCTTGTTCGCAGTTCTGACGTCCGACTCTGCACCCTCTTTGCTACTCCCCCCCCCACGGTACCGATGTTACGGAAGCTGGCCAGGCGTTTGTCAGTACTTAAGCTGGGAAGTATGGATTATGGAAAAGACGAAAGAAGGGATTCCTGCAGGTTGTTGCAACATAGCTTCAACTTTGCAACTTTGCACTTCGGGCGGCAAGTCTGCGTGCGCTTTTGCCGAAGTCGCTATGCGGTGCCTAAGGTCTTCTCTTGGACATCAATGCGGATGTCTTGGGCTTGCTTCGCTGGAAGCATGTCCGGGGTGTGCCAAGGACTGCCTTGCAGAATGCTGTAGTCGCTCTGTGCATATTTGCATTTTAGGCTTCGGGGCGGGGTTGCAGACCGTTACGACCGTTACGGTTTCTGTCTGCCCTGCGCTGCTTCGGATTCCAGGAAACTCCTCAAGGAGGGCGGCCACCTCGCTAACCTTCGAGTGGACCAGGTGCCGTGGCAGAAGACGTGGGCACCTGTAGCCTCGCGCTGTTCAGCATGCTGTGCAATGCCTTTGCTCGCACAGACGCACAGAGATGCCCAGCAGCAGGATCTGCCGCGAGAGTCTTGAAAACCTGAAATGGACCTTGCAACTTGACCGTGCAGTGAGTAGTCAGTCACGTACAGTTGCTGTCGCAGGTCGGAGATGCGAGGTTGACCTTGCGCCTGGAGTGTGCCGAAGTTGCAAGATGCTGTAAGTCCGGCTCAGCAGGTCTGTTCAAGCACTTCGTTGGGTCTCGGGCTGGGATGCTCGCTTATCGAGGCCGAGGCATTGGCCATGAAGGTCAGACTTTCGAGGAGGAGGACTACCCGGATGTAGTCGCCCGCGTCTACGAGTGGGCAATGGAGCCAAAGATGCTCCAGTTGGCGGAAGAAGCTGCTCCCACAGCTGTCAAGCGGCATCCCGGGCGAAATGGCCCGCGGGCAGTCGGCGACGGCGAGGGCATGCCCGTCCGCCCGCCTCCTCCCTTCAGCGCGAGCCGGTTTCACCGTCCCGGCAAGTGCGGGCCGCGCCAGTAGGGAGCCTTAGTATCAGAAGATCTTGGCACACAAGTTTCAACTGCATGAGCTCATCACGCATACAGCACCAATGATTCAGGGACATGGCTTCTTGGCTGGTGCCGGCACAAGGAGAATCTCACTGAGGGGCTTGCTGATCCTGCAAAGCAGGGGCCCCTGCACTGAATCGTTGAAGATGCGGAGAAACGTCAGGTGTAGTTTATGAGCGGCGTCATCACCAATCTCGACCGATCATGTGCATCGGAATCGTTAAGTTCGGGATAAGCACCAGAACTGAACTCGGTTGCAGGACAGGCTGTCAGGCACAGTTCAGAATTCGACATCGTTGGAGAGCCCGCCGCGCACCTTCGCCAGCAGCTTCTCAGCTAAGGCAAGTGCCCATTTAGTGAGAGCACAGACTTGGACCCTCAAGCGCCCATACATGGCATGCACGCACGCGCACAATCAACACTGCCCGAGGCCTGCCGTGTTATATCCAGCTCGTTGTTCTGGAACATCCCCCACATCTGTACGTAGAGCATCAGGGCTGTCCTGTGGTTTAGCACATGGATTGAGGGTTTTGAGTTAGGGAGTGCCGTGAAAGCAATACAGGGCCGATGCCTCGAGTTCGACAAGGAGAACGTCGCACAGATTGTTGCCGAGTCTACCAGTAGCGGCTCGCGGTAGCGGATCAAGCAGTGCCGACAGCTGCCGATGCCGATTGTGTGATGAGCCGTGACAAGCACGGCCCGCGCTGCAAAACTGTTCAGCTTGAGTTGTTGGCCGTGTTCTGCATCATTCTGTACCCTAGATTATCGGGAACTCCGACATCTGGCAGCAACGCACCACACACGCGCCTCTACCTGCAGCTATTTTCAGCTGAGCCAGGATGCCAGTGAGGTCAGAGCAGAGTCTTCACAGCAGGCGATTTCTTGTGCTGCTCCATTCCGATAATTACTGCACATCCGTCGACAGATTCCGAGTGCCTTGTGTCCCGCGGCCCGAGATGGCAGCCTGTGAACATCCGAAGGAGGCAGTGCCTCCGCCACTTTCAAAGACGTCCATGCAACGGACTAGTTCCAAAATGGGACTTCCTGGTCTGCAGCTCGTCAAGCACTTGAGTGGCAAGTGGGATACAGTTGAAGCCATGCAGGCAGCATGATGCCGCAACGTGAGGTCGATCGGATAGCATGATCGGTTAATTTCCTATGTCCTGTATGTTGTATGTTGTATGTTGTTGCTCAATGCTCGGCCGGCCGTAGGTTACTAGTAATTTGCAGCATGGCATACTTGTATTGAATCAAACTCCACGCAAAAGGGGAACATGTGGCTTCGTGGCTGCAGTATATATGTTAGGCAACCATGAATGATTATACATGATGCGATTGATACGTAGGTACGGTGTTTGTAGGTACGCGTGCACGTAGGTACCCACGCCTTTATATTCAGATATTGTATATGGCTGGCTGGTTGTCAAAATTAGGGTCCAATGCCAATTTGGGGTCCTTATTATAATACGGCACCTCATATTTAAGGTACCCAAAAAGGGACCCTAATTTTGACAACTGCCCATATCGCACGCATGCACGAATGCGACGGTCCGAGGCCGGCTCCCGCCACATCCCAATCTCTTTCTTCTCCTGAAGCACCCTCGGCAGCCGCAGAGGCTCAGCGGCCTGGGGTCGGGGATCAGAGAGCTTTCTTTGGGAGTTTGTTGGGAGGTTATGGTTACTATGAGGGTACGAAACGGGTTACTGTAAGGGTTGCTATACCGGTGTTCAATACATCAGCAGTCATTTCCCAAAGTATCGCGGTCATGGTGCAGAACAGAAACACGCAAGTAATTCGAAGAGGCTTTGGTTGGGCTTGGCTGGCAGGCTCTTGAGCTTCCATCCCTTCTTGCAGATGCAGTCGCCAAGACCCTATGCTTCCTACGCCCTGTGCAGGCCCGAAGGGGCCCAGGTTCTTCGATTCTACGCTGTCTTTGGAGGGTTTTTTGGAGGGGAGACGTCTGAGGGAATCCGTCATGCACCTTCCCAACAAGTCTTCGCCCCATTTTTCCCAGATTAGCGGTATCATCTGCTAAGTAGGGAACCCTGTTGTTGTGCAAGGGTTCTTTGTATTCATTTTTTCCAAAGGATCCTTCTATTTTTGTATTTATGTGACTGTCGGCTCAGATGTCTTCAGGCAGAAGGATCGTGGGAACATGGAATACAGAAGTGGCTTCATGGAGGGAGAGAGACGATATGTTCCCACCAATCCACTTACAGGGATTTGTTCTAGCAATGGCTACGGCTCAAGGCTCAAGCCATATGGTTACGAGGTCCAAATTGGACAAGCCCCTAGGTTCGGGTTTTTGTCGAACCCCTCATGGATTCACAGTACCGACGTCTTCTAATTATCGTAATCCGAAACCCTTCCCATAAAACTTGCCTGAAGCCAAGCGCCAAGTGTTCTCCGGCAACATTCGTTTCGATTCACTTTCTAAACGGCTGGACGTCCAAGGTTTAGAGCTAAAGGGATCCACGGCGGCATCGCTTTGCGCCAGCCCGCGAGTCAGCATGATCATCCCCAAAAGCAGCGTCCGAACTCTTGGAGGCAATGGACTGCAGACCTCAAGCCCTTGCATTCTACAACTGAATCCTGATCCTGAACACTAGATAAACAGGCGGGGGCGGAAAACATGTTAGATAAACCTGCAATTCCTTTGAGTTCTACTTTTCCTTTGCTGCCCCCAAACCCCGACGTAGTTTCTTTCAAACCTGTCCAGGCCGGGCTGCTGGTGGGCGACACTATGCATGCGGGCGGATGCAAAGCCATTCGTGCTGGGAGCCCAGCTTTGGTTTCAGTCAGCGTGGGAACATGGAATACAGAAGTGGCTTCATGGAGGGAGAGAGACGATATGTTCCCACCAATCCACTTACAGGGATTTGTTCTAGCAATGGCTACGGCTCAAGGCTCAAGCCATATGGTTACGAGGTCCAAATTGGACAAGCCCCTAGGTTCGGGTTTTTGTCGAACCCCTCATGGATTCACAGTACCGACGTCTTCTAATTATCGTAATCCGAAACCCTTCCCATAAAACTTGCCTGAAGCCAAGCGCCAAGTGTTCTCCGGCAACATTCGTTTCGATTCACTTTCTAAACGGCTGGACGTCCAAGGTTTAGAGCTAAAGGGATCCACGGCGGCATCGCTTTGCGCCAGCCCGCGAGTCAGCATGATCATCCCCAAAAGCAGCGTCCGAACTCTTGGAGGCAATGGACTGCAGACCTCAAGCCCTTGCATTCTACAACTGAATCCTGATCCTGAACACTAGATAAACAGGCGGGGGCGGAAAACATGTTAGATAAACCTGCAATTCCTTTGAGTTCTACTTTTCTTTTGCTGCCCCCAAACCCCGACGTAGTTTCTTTCAAACCTGTCCAGGCCGGGCTGCTGGTGGGCGACACTATCCCCGCACTGAACGGATGTTCATGGGTTCCTGAATTACAGAGTGTTCGATAGATCTTACACCCCATTCATTGGCCCAAATTGCCATCGGGTGTTGAGGCTTTGGGTCGTCAGGAGCAGGCTGGTGCTGGTACTGGTACTGACCCTGTGAGCTGTGCCATGTAAGTTGCTCCGGGTCCTCATGAGGCTATATACAGTTGACTCTGAACCCTATAAGCCCTAGGCCCTAAACCCTGAACTCCGACGCCCCGCCCTCCAAGACCTCGTCTAAGCCAATCTCCGCCCGCTAAGACGACCCCCCGCGAAAATGCGGCGAATACTTACGTTTCACCGGCCTGGCAGCTGTGGCGGGATTTCGAAAGCGACCCATCGAGCCCCGAGGAGCAGTTTACTGAGCTGCAGCACAGGACTGCGGCAAGAACGCGGCTTTGGTCCAAAATGCAGGAAATTTGCGGGAATGTGCAAGATTCAACGTCAAGAACAGGAGCAGTGTCGATACTCATGTCAATGAGAACTCGCATCATCGTCATGGTTTTTGATGCTGCTGGTTGCTGTTTGCGAAGTTTGTCACAAAGGCACTCTTTGCGCCACTGCCCCGACTTTTTCTTTGTCATAGCAGCCTTCTAGTTTGATTGTGACCCTTGAACTGCGGATAGATGAGATTGTAGGCTGGCCTTGTTATCTCTGCCGTGTTGGCGTGTTGGTTGTATTGTGAGTAGTTGTTCCGGGTATTGGAATGATAAGGCTCACTACCGCTACCATGTCAATGCGGTTATTGCTTCACTTGCAAGTCTCTGCAAGGACTGCAACAGCGATGCTAAGCGTTGCACACGCTGTTGTGCCAGCATTGTTCTCACGTGGCTACAGGGAGCTTGCGTGGCACGGATGGCAGCATGCCGTATGTCAGGTCAATACCACGCAACATTGGTGGCGAGTCCAGGGAAGAGCCACGGCCTCAGCAGTTTTGCTCACCATGTGACCTTGTCTGAGTCAGTACCGGACAGGAATCATTGGCAACACTGTCTGCTGTGCTGTTTGTTGCTAGCAGAGCACAACACTGAGCCAATCGCCAACTGATCAATCGTGCTGTTATGTTTGCCATTGCCCCCACCACACGTACACGCTTACGTAAACTTCGACTGTGCTGTTAAATGGGAGCCATTCGGGGTTCCATGCGAGCATTCGCCCGGAACCTTTCTGCTTCTTCATATGTCATTGGAGGATCAGGGTACTTGGAAAGGAGGTTCTGCTGAGACAATTACTCTATTTATTAGCCGGCTGCTATCTCTAGTTTTACAGCTAAGGCCTGTAAAGCCAGGCAGTCCTATCTTCCTAGCTATAGATGCTGTCAACTGTTCAATAGTACTCGTCTCCACTTCCAACAAGTGGTTACCCGGGAAATGGCGAGCGAACGAGGACCTTCTTCAGCAAGAAGCATCTCTTGGTCCTAATGCAGTCTGCTGATTAGTGTCCCCCGCCCCGCCTCCCCCCCAAACACAATCCCCCCACCTGTAGCCAATATTATCCCCGCTGGATTGACTCCTGGGGGAGTATTGGAACAGCACGGTCCCTTAGGATCTCAAGGCTGTGCCCTGCACACGGTCAGTCAGCAAGTTTTTTTTTCTGCTACGCAGAGAGAGCTATGGCGTCAAGTAAAACCACTGGAGACAGAATGGGCAGCGGAATATGTGCATGCGAGTACGCCACCATGCCATTGCTGTAAGTACCTACCCTTGGGGGATTTCAGGATTCACCCCCCCCCCCCCATACTGAGGTCGGGGCAATTTGGTGGGGTGGGGGGGGGGGGGGGGGGGGGGGCGGTTCTGGCTTCAGATGATTTTACACGGACGAAGGGGTCCAGACGATTTTGCGCCGAAATTTCGCATCGCCCGATTTTTCACAATTCCGGGGACCTCGTCAAATTGACTCCGCTGAATAATTTCCAGATGTTTTCACAGTTCCGGAACCCGCTAATATGTTCCGGATTTTTTCACAATTCCGGAACCCGCACCATTCAGGATACAACATTACATGTCAGAGGTTGCCTTCTCGCCGGCTTTATGTTTACTTTGCTGCAGCCATTTATCTGGTAGCGAGCGAGGACAGGGATAATGGCCAAGAACACGTATGCATCTAGATAACGTCATCAACTACCTATTTCGTTGTAACGTGCCAGTGTTATAGACCACGGCGCACCACCACACAAGAGGAGACATAATCTTTGTAGCAATCCGTATGTTTCGCGCGGATGCCAAGATGGGAAGCGCCGAAAGTGGACAGCCCCCCCAAGACCAACAATCCTTTTCCGCGCAGGGTCAAGCGTGAAGGCGCCCCCCTTGCTGGAGCAGCGTCCAAGTCACCTAAGGCCCCGCGAGTGGAACAGGAAACCAAAGAAGAAGAAGTGGATGATGAGACTTGCGCAGGGGTGAAGCAGGAGGAATGCCCTGAGGATGGCGGGGACGGCCAACAGTCTGAAGTGCCATTGAAGGGCATCAACACACTGGACGTGGATTCAATTTTGACCAGCTTGCGATCTGGGCAAATCTCTGGAATGGCCGAAATCATGCGCCCACAGATAGGTTGTGATCTTTTCCAGCTGCCGCCGATGGTCGCCGTCAACATCTTCCATGGCCTCTATTTCGCAATGAGCTTCGAGGATTGTGGCTTCTACTTTGCAGAGATCTGCCGTCGAGGTTGGTTTGTTGCCACGCTCTTCTCTCCGAACTTCAACAACCGCTCATTCCGCGGTGACTGGCGTCACACCGTTCTTGAAGCACAGTGCTCAGCCTGTGAAGCTTTCAGGTCAGATCGTGAGGTCATGGAGATTTCCCATTGCCTCCCACCCGCAGTCGAAAAAATCAGGAAACGGTTCAGACTGGACAAACGCCACAGGAAAGCCTTGCGTGAGAGAGGTTTGGAACCATCTCTGGTGCAACGTGAAATTGTTGCGGCTGTCTACATGGGCTTCCAGGACATCGGCTGCAGGACCGCGCTATGGGATGGGCTTGCGTGAGTGTAATCAACCACGTGGCATTACCGCAGAAAAAGGTAGTCTGCCGAATCCGCATTCGTGGCGCGACCTGCATTGCAACTGAAGATCCCCCCATGTCATGTCGTGTTGTTACTGCATGAGCCACAACGTCATATCGACTCTGAGGTCGATTCAGCTTCGACTCCTCGAGCGCCCCCAACCTCCCTGTGGCGATACAAGCGAAGTGTGCAAAGGCAAATGCAGGGTTCAGGGCTTAGGGATGAAGGGTTTAGGGGGCGAGAGGCTTGTGGATGGATGGCACGCTTCCAGGCACTGCCCAATCAATAAAGTGTCATACCGACCCCACTGAAACTGAGACTGAAACCCACCTTGAGGTTGTACCATACCAAGCATTTTAGAATCGACTGTCGCAGTTTGACCTGTTCATAAGAAGGATACGCTTGTGTTCTCCCTAGGGTTGCTCTTTCTCCTTTAGGGATCTTCAGGGGTTTTCCCGCTTTTCCGACAAATGGCTTTGACGAGCATGCATGCTCCAACGCCGACGAGGCATACAGCAACTGCAGCCGTTTTGGTCCTTGGTCAACAGCTGCGACCAATAAGTTCTCGGCACACACCGGCAACAGATGAAACGCATGCACCACTTGCTTTATGAGCATGGCCATTCGCAAATGGTTTGTGATGTGCTAATTAAGTTTCATCTCCGGCATAAGGAACTTATCTACGTTGCGTTGCTTTCTGGGTTGATGATTCCCATTTGAGGCAAAGGCTTCATCGAATGACTTTGCACGTGAGTTTGCAGCGTGAGGGAAATCCGCTACAAAGCTTTGCCATGCCGTGTCTCACCCCGTGGTTTCCCCCTTTGAAGGCATTTGGCGGCTGTCAGTCTGAACCTAAGCTTTCCTCGGATCCCTGCGCATGTCCTAGTGGATCGTAGTGGCGACAGGATCTCTGCCGCGCGTGCCTGAACGGCCTGAACGGGATCTACCTGAAGGATTTGCAGGCCTTGCGTGTGCAGAGCGGGAGTTGAACGGAGTTAAACTATGAACGCTCTTCTTCTTCTTCTTCCTCCCTCCTCTTCGTGGCTGCAGGCGCGAACGCAGCAGGAAGAAGGTACTCAAACCGCTGAAGAGGCCTTCGATTCTGAGGGTTCTCCGGTGGTACGAAGTGAAGTTCGCAAGCTGCCTACCCCTCGGTCGCGGCAACGTCTTCCGGCCGAAGTGCAGCGATCAGTTTTGCAAAGGGCCATTTTAAAAGTGGACTGTTGCGGAGTTTGCTCAGCCTCCAAAGGACCCGAAACCGTACACATGCCGTACATCATATCAAGCTAAGAGCCCAGATTGCCTAAACCCCAAACACCCGGAGTGCAAGGTTGCCACGCGGCTCGTTGGGCGAGAGCGTCCAAGCTTTCCGGTGAACGAAGCTCAAAGCCGGCACCCGAACTTGGGGCGGCGTGGGCGTTTTATTGGGGCGGGTAGGATTCGTTATTTTCTATTGAGTTCCAAAATTTGCGGAGGACAAGGATTGTTGCGTAGGAAATCGACCCCTTTTCCAAGTGCGTTCCAAGGGACTAGGATTCTGGGCAGGAAATCAGACCTGGGTGTCGGGGAGAAATTGAAGGAATCGGCCCATATCGCAAAATTTGATCGAGTGAGGCCGCGCGTTTTGAACACGTGATGTGATAATTCCCACGTTTGGTATGAGCAGTTGGTGTTTCTTCTTGGCTGCGCAAGGTGGGGTGGGGCCAGACCTCATCAAGACAACCGTGACGTCCGGCCGTGGGCTTTGCTTTGCGCTTTGTAGATGCGAGAGTATGCACGCTTGGATGCCTTGACTTGAGCAGGCATGTTTGAAGCTTCTTTGTCAATTCCGCCTGCTTTTGTCCACATCCATTCTCTTTGGTTGTTTCAAGTTTCTTGCCCCCACCAAGACACATGCTGTTAAGGGAGCAGTGGCCTTGCCGCATCTGCTCGATGCAGTGGAGATCCACAACGTCGGCGCCTGGTATCCCTTAAGCTGTGGAGCTGCATACGAGTGTTAGGTCACCCGCCCCAAGTCCACTCCTGCTTTTCTCAAAGTGTCGTATTTGCATTGGGAGTTGCACATCACCTGCATAACAATCATTTTTGCATAGCAAATGAAACACAACAATAGCGAGAGCAGCAGAATGCAGGATTTAGTGAACAACAATGACCACTAAACCATGGCAAGCACAAACCGGTCAAAAAGTTCATCATTTCCGTGTAAATGCCTGTCCAATTCTACGACACCGTGGCAGGCAAAAAAAAGTTTGAAAAGATGACGAGAATGTTCATGTCAACGTCTGGCTCTCCTCTGAGGCCAGCATTCACGTGGAACTTTGAACTTTGACACTTTTGTGTCTGCCAGAGTTTCGTGTTTTCGAAATCTTTACACTGAAAGACAAGAATATTAAACAAAAGGCTACCGACTCTTTCCAACGCGCGCGCACGCGAAGCATAGCGACGTTCAGTTTTCAATGACTGATGCAGAAACGTACATGCATGCATGGTAGCTTATCTTTATCGGCTCTAGTTTTTTTCACTACAGTGCGTATAGACAAAGCCCAAAACGTGAACCAGCGGGGTGAGCAGTGAGCGAGTGTCACTGTGTTCCGCGGTGTGAAGCGACCTTGTTGACTGCATCAGGTCTTGAGTCGTTCTTTCCCGAAGCAAGGTTTGGGATGATTTGGCGTAGCTTCTGAGGCCTCGCTTTGTGAACCTGAGCGTGTCACAGAGGCTGGCCGAGCCAGAGTCTGTGGCATCGCAGCCTTTGGAGCCAGTCCTCCTCTCAGTCGTTCGCAGCATTCAGCAAGTTGCAGGATTCAGCAAGGTTTCTGGGCCTTTGTTGGGTGAGGGAGAGAGAGCCTTTTGCCATCATGGGAAGTTCATGTTGTGGCGGATGTGAGGGGTCGGTGGTGCTCCCAGCCGGCGCAGAAGCTTCCATCAAGAAGGCTCGTGAAGCTCGGCCAATCTGGTAGCATTGAATGCCGCTGGCCGATCGTGCAAGGCGCAGCGCAAGGCGCAGTGGATCATGGCCCAGGCAAGCACTGTCCTTTTCAGGAGAATCAGTCTACGCTTGTTTTTACGTCGTCACTGTGGGGGGTCAGGGGTCCAAGCGCGAAGGGTAGCACGCCGACAAAGCCAGCGCCCGAAACGCCTGTCTTTTGCGTGCTTTTACTTTTAGTTTGTGTTCAGAATTGTTGGCTGGTCTTGCGCTCAAGATCCCATGCTTGGCTGCAAAAGAATTGTTTTTTCTATTTTCTCTTCAACTCTAGCGTTTGATGCTCAACTTTCCTGCAAAGAATCAAATTCCAGCGACCCTGTGCTTTTGGGTTCTTTGTTCAGCATGATCACTAGTGTCCTTGAAGTTTGCAAAATCTTACAAACTTACAGTGTCCTTGAAATTTGCAAAGTCTACCATAGACATACAAAAATACACAAGTTCAAGGGTGGACACTGGCACTACAAACTTACAGTGTCCTTGAAATTTGCAAAGTCTACCATACGAAGACATACAAAGATGCGCAAATTCAAGGGTGGACGGTGGCGATACAAACTTGCAGCATCCTTGAAATTTGCACAGTCTACCATACAAAGATACAACAACTCAAGGGTGGAAGTCAGCGTCAGAAGCTTATACGTGTCCTCGAAATTTGCAAGGTCTACCATGTCTAATTCACGGGTGGACGTTGGCGTTACAAGCTTAAAGTGTCTTTGAACCTTGCAAGGTCCAAGACACAAAGATGCAAGAATTCAAGGATGGAAGTTGGCATTACAACTTACAGTGTCCGTGAATTTCGAAAGTCTACCATACAAAGATACAGCAACCCAAGGCGTTGGCTGTACTAACTTAGAGTTTCCTTGAAATTTGCAAAGTCTACCATGCACAGATACTATATTTCAAGGGTTGATGTTGGAGGTACACAAAGTTCGTCACACAAAGATACACAAATTCAAGGGCCAACGTCTACCACACAACGATACTCAAAATCAAGCGTTGATGTTGTCGCTACAAACTTACAATGTCCCTTAAGCTTGCAAAGTCTATCATGCAAGGATACAGGATACACAATTTCAAGAGTGGACGCTGGCGCTACAAACTTGCAGTGTCCTTGAAGTTTGCGAAGTTCGCCCCACAAATTCAAGGGTGGGCGTTGGCGTTACAAACTTACAGTGTCCTTGAATTTGCAATCCCTACCATACAAAGATACGAACACTCCAGGGTGACCGTTGGCGTTACAAACTGACAGTGCCGCTCAGTCTACCATACAAAGATGCAAATATTCGAGGGTGGACGTTGTCGATACAAACTTACAGTGTCCTTGAAGTTTGTGACGTCTGACATTGCACAGATACAAACATTCAAGGGTGGACGTTAGCGTTACGAACTTTCAGTGTCGTTGAAACTTGCAAAGGCTACCATGCAAATATGCAAAATTCAAGGGTGGACGTTGGCGTTACGAACTTGCGGTGCCTGCGAAGTTTGCAAAATCTACCATACAAAAATGCAAGCATTCAAGGGTGGATGTTGGCGTTACAAACTTACAGTGTCCTTGAAACTTGCAAAGTCCAAGACGCAAAGATACAGGAATTCAAGGGTGGACGTTGGCATTACAAACTTACAGTGTGCTTGGAACTTGCTAAGTTATCTAAGTTTACCGTAACCATGCAAGAATACAAACATTCAAGAGCGGACGTTGGCGGTACAAACTCAGTGTCACAGTGTCGGTGATATTTGTGCAGTCTGCAATACAAAGATACAGTAGTTCAAGTGTCAAAGTCTACCGTACGAAAATACACAAATTCAAGGGTGGACGCTGGCGTTAGACAACTTGGAGTGTCCGTGAAGTTGGCAAAGTCTACCATACAAAGATACAAAAATTCAAGCGTGGGCGTTGGCGTTACAAACATAAAGTGTCTGTGAAACGTGCAATGTCTATCATACAAAGATACAAAGTGTACGTTGGCGTTACAAACTGAAAACTTACAGCGTCTTTGAAATGTGCAAAGTCTAACATGCAGAGATACCAAGTTTCAAGGGTGAATAATACAAATATTCAAGGGTGCTGTCCCAAATGCCCAGTCCAGGTGAGCATGCGCGTGTCAAGTTTCAGGGGGTTTTGGAGTGGACGCGCGCGCGCGCGCAACGTCAGCCGCTCCATAAGCTTGCAAGCGTCACGTGTTTTGTGAGATTCGTCCCGTCCGGAGAAGGAGTACGCAGTACGCGCTTTTGAACATGAGTGCTTACATGGTTTATGCCAGGTCCAGGAGATACAAGCTGGCGTTTCAGCGCGGGTCTCGAGACGTGCGTGCTGATTTTGAAAGGCTCTGGCAGTTGGACTTGGGAGCAGCAGGTGTGGCGGTTGCGCATACTTGTTGAGTGCAGATGGTAGAGTGGGGACATGTCAGTACATGCGGACACACTGTTCCTCACTTTGCGCATTCGGATTGTCGTTGTTGCAGACATGGGCATCCTGGCATCCTGGATCGCATGAGGCTCTTACCAACATTGCGAAGCCCATTATCAGGGTGGCCTCCTTGGGCCTTCGGGCAAAAGAGATCCGGCAGAACTTCCGTACGGTGGCCCTTTGCAAGGCTGCCCATGCAGAGCTGGACCAGCTACTGGCGAACGTCGAGGGCATGCAGGCGGGGCCCGGGGCGGCGGGGCGCGTATTGCGATCTTGGGGCATCCATCCGGCGCATCACAGGCCATGGAGGCACAGCTTGTGGATGTGCAATGCCAGCTCCGGAAATGGCAGAAGTGCCATCGCGGCCTCCAAGTGCTCGTCTCGCAGCAGGCCCCGTTCGTTGTTGCTGCACCGGCTTCCACCTCAAGCCTCGGTGCAGTGAGTGTAGTAGCCTCTGCTAATGTTGTGCATTTGGGCATTCGATGGCATTGCTGTAGCTTCAGCTTCTCGATGGGAAGAGAAGGGTAGAGATGTGCATCCTAAATCCTAGGTCCTAGGTCCTAGTGATGTCCACTTGGTGCATCATGGTGCTCTACAAAATGTTTATGACGATCATGACGCTAAATTTCGACAAGATTTCGAGAAGGCAGATTTGAAGAGCAAGGTTCGATAGCGCCTGTGTCCCCCGGCAGGCGAAAACTTGAAAAACTAGTGAGACGTGAGACGACGCGTGCTTTCAAGATGTGGCATGCGAGAGACCGAAGAACACGAGTGAGTGAGGAAGCATTTCCATACCTGTGATGTACGAAAACGACTCGAAAGATGCAATATCCGACAATATCCATGGTCAGATTAGGTTTGCCATGATTCCTCTTCTTGGCCAGGAGGACTTTGGAAGAAGAGTTCGCGAACTTTTGGCAAGCAAGCTTGCTGGATGCTGCATCAGCGAGTTGCAGGCTGGAAGGGATTGCTCGATAAGCAAGCTTTCAGCAGCGAAGCGAGTACTGTAGATCGCGGAGCATGTCGTGTGGATAAGTCTGCCGTCTTTAAGGAAAAGCCCTCAGAAATTCCAGCCGGCTTGAGGCAAACAGCGCCATAAAACTGAGCAGTCAGCATATGCGTTTCATGCCGAAGGACCTCTCTTAATCATTCCTCGCCAAACCATCCCTAGCCTTGAGTTTAGTCTCCGCAGGGGCAGGGGACGGTAAGACCCGGTAAGAAGCAAGCCAAATGTTGATTTTTGCGCAGGGTGTGGGCTGGGGGAGGGCTAGGCGGAATTGTTGCTCCGGAGGACACCCAGCTTTTACAAGCGTGGCGGTGGCTACAGCCCATGCCAGTTGAATCACATGCGAGCAGTAGAAGGATCGGCCGCTAATCATTCTGTAGATTCTTTAGCTCAACACAGACTGGCAACCGCACGCGAAGCCACTGCTTGTACTTTCGTGGATCAGCGCAGCCCCGTGTCGCTTTTGCATGGTCTCGAACACGTCAGCTCTCCACGATGCGATTCCTGAGGAATAGCATTCATTACGGCCATTTACGGCCCAAAGTCCAGAGTTGCCGCGCTGAGTGCAGTACGACACCCCACCATGCCAAGCCGTTTGCATGACCCCGCACAAAAGACCCGCAGCTGATTTCGAGACATACGCCCATAAGGTTCAAGCAGATAACATCTCCATTTCGAGATTTCATCGTGATATGCGGAACCAATTTCAAGAAGCCCTGCGCAGGGCGAAGTTCGCGAAGCTCATGCCAGGCCCGGCCCATCAGTCATTGTTCAACTTCTCAGTTCGGCCGACGCTTTTGAGGCTTTCCGGTCTCGGTGGCGACAGCGATTTCGAGTACTGCACCGGCTGCGACGAATGGCGGAGATCAATCTGCTTGATCACAGAAGATCTCCGAGCCATCCGTCAAAAATGCCCGCGGCCGGCGGAGCTCGGCGCGTACAATACTCCGAGGCTTCGCTCATGTTGCCTTGCATACCCCGCATCGCTTGTCGTGGTCTCCCCTGCCCCTCATCACGACCTCGGACAACTCCTTGGCCCTTCTCTAGCTTTCGTTGCCCTTGACCTGCCCTGCACTTGCTTGGGAATCTGTTTGCGATTGGCCGCGGTGCAGGTCAGGATCTCGCTCCAGGGAAGCCAGCGTTGGAGGAGCGTCTAGCAAAGAGCGGGAGGAAAGGGATAAAGAACGAAACACATAACCCCAACAACAACAGCAGAACCGCCACCAGCTGCAGCAGCAGCACCAGCACCACAATCACCAAGAAAAATAACATAATACCAGACAGCAACAGGACGACGACGCCGACGACGAGGACGACGACGATGACCACAACAACAACAACAGCAGCAGCAGCAACAGCAACAGCAACAACAACAACAGCAAGAATGACAACCGCAACAATTCCACCGGGTCCAGTTCTGCTTCTTGGTTCGGGTTGCGGCCTTGTTGTCCCAGTGGGGCTGGTATGTGAGTGCTTTTACTCGCTATTCTAGCATTAGAGCATTCGGAGTGCCCGCGGCGGCCGTTGCGAGTAGCGCACGGGACTTGATTAGCAAAGGAAGCAGAGAGCCGGCGACGTGGATGCCCCGTGCATGACAAGTTCTGATTCTTGACTTATAGGGTTTAGGGTCTAGGCCTCGCGCAAGAGACTTGATGCCTGCCGCTCAAGGAGGCTCTCCCTACCAGTGATGGCCACTCTGCAGCGCTCCGCATCGAGCCCGCCTCAGACGCTGCCAGCTTTTCAATGATGTAATTCGTTCCCACTTCCCCAAGGAGTTGGGTCTTCAGCTAGTGCAACTTGTGTTTTCAAGTGTTTTTCAGTTTTTTTCGGCGTGTCGTTTTGCTCCATGTTTCTGGCTCCTTCCATGGCCGCTGTGCTGCTCATTTGCTATTCGATATCCTTTTTCGTTTTTGCCTTGTGGTTTTGCCCTGCAGCTGTGCGCTAATTTGTTGGGGTTGTCATTGTTCTGTACATTCTTGGTGTTCTGGTTGCCTGATGTGGTCTCTTCGTGCCTCGCTTTTCGTTGTCTGCTCTTTCGGAATATTACCTGACTGTCGGCGTTCGTGCGTTTTCGATACAACTGCCATTGCCGGCGCGATTCTGCGAACAAGGACGGCATCAAGCTCTTCGAATGGAAAACGTGAAGGACCTCGCCAAGTGCAGGAGCGCGAAGTGCGAGCAGGTGGGGGCTGGCTTGAGCTGAACAAAACCTAGTACAAGTAGTTGATAAATGAGTATATACACTGTATTTATAATCATGGGTGAACATGCAAGCAGTTTTTTTTACACAACGGAACCAGTATCCCTGTCGAGAGCTGACCAGGTTAGATAAGTGCTTCACTGCTGGACTCTTTGCAAGCCGCTCAGCACGCCCTCCCCCCCCAACCCCCCTTTCCAAAAGGTGTGCTGTCGCGCAAGCCCAACCGTGCAAACGCCTCAACACTCGGGTCACTCGGCCGCGACCCGCCACAGATGCCACGCGCACAGAGGCCGTGCTGCTGGGGTGCAGGGCGTCCCGAAGCAGCCCTTACAGGCATCTACTGAATTGTGAACCACACGTGCAGGCGGAGCTTTGGGCCGTGTGTCGCCTGAGCACCTTACCGGCGCCGACGATCTCCTTCTAAACCACCCGAAAAAGAGGATCACCTTATGGCAAGGATCCCAGTAAATGCACACGGCACCCCTTAATTTCAGAAACAACCAGATTAGTGGTGAAGGAGTTCGTAGTAAAGAGCCTGGTTGGGTGGGGTTCAGGGCGTGTGTTTTGTTGCATGCCGGAACGAGAGGCATGGCCAACACTGGCCGTGACGCTGGTTCTTTATAGTTCTTGAATTCGGAGCACACATCGCTTCAAGGCAAAATCAGTGCATTGCGCCTACACTTGCCTACGCCTACGTTGCGGTTTTGCCGTCGTTTTGAAATTGCAAAGTGGTATAGACTTGTGCCGCTCCGCCTCCGCGTCCGGGTGAGGGGAGCAAAAGACGAGGGTTGGTCCGTGGGTCGGCTCAGATTGAAGCAAAAGTTGGGCAGCGGACCGTGGAAAGGGGCACTAGAGGTGGGGAACAGCGGGGCTCATGGGGAACCTTGTCGTGCCCCACTGCACAAGGGAATGCCAGTTCCATTGAATGCCAGTTCCATGGGCGTTGCAGCTGCAGCGTAGTCTACTTGCGAGTGGCTGCAGAAGCTCGACTCAACCTCACGACAGCTCGCCATAAGTCACAAGCACTCGCCATGGGGCTGCTCAACATTCTGAAAGGATGAAGAAGGACCTAGCTGACCCGGGGCCGTGAGTCAAAAGCCACGACAACATCTTGGAAATTACCACAATAAGGCCATCTCAGCATGGAAATTGCACGAAAGCACACTGTGTGTTTCAGCTTGAGCTTTCATTCCTGCCTGGTTTGATGGCCTTCCCTGGTGGCTTTGCAGCCTTCTTCGCCATCTTGTTTCCGTCACGGTCTGTTGCGGAGTGAACAAAACCTAGTACAAGTAGTTGATAAGTGAGTATATACACTGTATGTATAATCATGGGTGAACATGCAAGCAGTTTGTTTTACACAACGGAACCAGTATCCCTGTCGAGAGCTGACCAGGTTAGATAAGTGCTTCACTGCTAGATTTCGGGAGCTTGCAGCCGGAGCTGATCGTTCACATGAAGAAACGCCATGCAAACAAAAGAAGGCTATCCTTACACTGAAACGCTTGAACGACTTGATCGGTGCCTGCTCCTCCGGAAAAAAAGCAGGTGACGACGGGCGTTCAACGGTTGGGAGCGACCTTGATTGCCTCGGCTTGCTTCCATGAGTAGCAAGCCCCCTGCATGCCTGAGTGCAGACCTATGGTGCCACTGAGCAGATGTGACTGTGGCGGGTTGCATCTGCACTTCGCTGTGAAGGATTTCCGATGCCTGTCCACTACACAGGTCCCGCAGGCCTTTGCCTCTGTTCCAGATGTCTCCTACCATGCCCTGGCTTCGACTCAAGCGGGTAGCAACCACGTTGTCAGCTCGGTTGAGACTCAAACACATGTCCAGGCTCCAAAAACGGAGACAGTTGCGGGAATAGCGAGTTCAAGACAAGAGCGGACAGTAGTGATCTTTAGCTCCTTGTCATGCCCCAACTATGGTACTCTTGGGAAGTTGCCTTCCCAAAGCCAGAGCAGGGAGCTGAGGGAGCAGTTCGCCTGCATTCCGCCCCAAAGCTCACACTTCAAGGGCCTTATACGGCCTTGCATGTTGCAGACCAGAAAGAAATTTGTCAGCCGCAGCAGACAGAGGCGCTGGTGACATCATGGTACCCTCAGCATGCTTCTAAGATGGAGGAGCTCGAGGCAGGTTCGATGTCAGCAAGCAACCCGTGTGCCAGCTTGCCTCTATTTGGCATTCTCCCATTGCAGATCCTGGAAACCATTGCGGAGTTAGAACAAGTCCGCGCGGCAGTGTTGCCCTCTCAGGCTGGACCACGACTAGCTGCGCCGAGCCATCTGTGGCGGGTTTAAAGAGTCAGCTGTCGAAAAGTTGGCCAGGCATGTTTTGGTTCATCGCTCCCCCTTCTTGTCTCCCTCCCTACTAAGCCCTTTATTTCATTATTGCTCAGAGGCCCACGCCTAACAATGTATATTCCGGGCCTCTGGTACGGTATTTACCAATATTCGTTTCCAGGGTCGGCGGAGGGAAATGTAAATCGGGGGCGGGGGTCTGAGATACATTTCTGCTGGCTGTCTTGGAAGGGTCTCGAGAAACGTCTTCTCCGGGCCGTTGGTCTGCAGAGAGTCTGACGGGGGGTGTCTTAAATATTTATTTCAGCTGCTCCAAAAGCAGCCTGGCAGCCTGTCCTCTTCCTCCTCCTTCTCCTTCTTCTCCTTCTCCTCCTCCTCCTCCTTTCTTTTCCTCACCTTTTCCTCTTCCTCCTCCTGGTTGTTGGATTCCCCCCACGGGGACTTCCTCTGCAGGCGAAGTGGGCGAAAGCAGGTCCACTTCGTTCTTCTCGGCCTCCTCCGTGCCCTTTTTCCCAACGTCTCTTTGGTTTCGGAGCTCTTTTTTGCGTCCTCCTCCCGCGTCTCTTCTGCTTTTGTCGCGTCCTTCTCCGTCTCTTCTGCTTTTTTCGCGTCCTCCTCCGTCTCTTTTGTTTTTTTCTCGTCCTCCTCCGATTCTTCTGTAGCAGACCCGTCCTCTTTCTTTGTTGTTTTTGCACTCTCCTTCTGCACCTCTTCCTCCTCTCTCGCTCCTTCACTCGACTCCCCCTCCTCCTCTTCCTCCTCCTCCTCCCTCTTTACCCTTTCCAAAGGCAGTTCCCGCGGCCTTTCTTGCCCACACTGTAGATTTCGGAGTCAGAGGTCGGCGCCTTCTTCCTGCTTGCCTCCTCCTTTTTTCTCCTCTTCTCACTGTTGTCCTCCTCCTTTTTCTTCTCCTCTGCACTTGCGGCCTTCCTTTTTCTGTCTTCAGAGTCCTCTTCCACCAGGAACTCGCTCTCGCTGCTCTCGCTTCGAAGCCGCTGCCTTTTCAAGCCTTGGAGTTCCTGTTGAAGGAAATCCACTTTCTGAAAAAGCTCGTACACGTACTGCTCCAAGAGCAGGATGCGGCCTTGCTCTTGGGCATGCGCATCTTGCTTTTTGCTGGCTTCTATGCCAGCAAAAGCCATGCGCACCGCTTCTTCCAACCCACGCTCGGGTCCCACCACCGTCAAGCCCCTGCCCCCCGACTGGCTCCTTCCACGGATATTGGCCCGACAACCAGTCTTTTGCAAGATCTGGTCCCTTGTCTCCTGCGACAAGGCGCCGCCCTCCGGCAGCTCGTAGGGGCCAGCGTGGTGGTCACCCCCCTTTCCTTTGCCTTCTCCTGTTCCTTCTCCTTTTCCTTTTCCTTCTCCTTTTCCTTCTCCTTTTCCGTCTCCTTTTCCTTCTCCCTTACCTCCCCCTGCAGCCTTTGCTGGTGCTAGTTTTGCCTTGGCTGCTGCTGCGTTTTCCTCCTCCTTCCAGTCCTCCTCGGCCCATGCCGCGCCGTAGTCCTGCCACTGCCAGTCGCCCCACCAGCCGGCCATGGCTGCACTACGTAAAGTTTGAGTTTGCTGTCGGTCGTGGTTCTTTGCTGTTGGTCGTGCTTGTGGTGCCTGCTGCAGTTTGTTAGGTGTGAGCTGCATGCAGTCTGTGAAGTGAGGTTGCGTGCCCATATATGCTACACGGCGATGCCGTGAGCGGGGCAATGCCTCCGCATCTGCTTGCTTGATGAAGGCGCAGCGCGGAACAATCAGTCACGGGATGCACTCAGGCAAAGCCTCGAGTTGCAGAGAAAAAATGGATTTAGGGTTTAGGGTTATAGGGCTAAGGTTGCAGGGTTTGGGACAGAAAAGGTTGCTAAAACTTTACACCCGGGTTTAGGATTGTAGGGCTAAGGTTGTAGGGCTTAGGACAGAAAGGGTTGCTAAAACCTTGAACCCTTTGAAACCTTCAAACCCTAAACTCGAAGGCGACACCTTGCAACCCGGGTCCGGGTTGGACCCCGGGTTGCTCAGGTTCTAGGGGTTTTCCGGGCATGTGGTTTCTGGGTTTGGTGCTCCGGGGTTCAGAGGGTTTCTGGGTGGTGTGGTTGCCGATGCGGCATGTCATGGCTATATGACCCACGACCGGAAATGACAAATGCATGGGAGGAGCGCGCGTGCAGAGGTGGAAAGGCGGAATAACATGTTTGCAC